AGGGTTCAGAGTTTAGACTTATTTTTTCTAAATCCCTAAGACCCTAAAACCCTAAACTAAACCCCAAACCCTGAAAACCCTAAATGCCCAAGACCCCTAAAACCCTAAAACCCCTAAATCCCTAAGACCCTAGACCCTAAACCCTAAACCCTAAAACGCAAAACCCAAAACCCTAAACCCTAAACCTTAAACCCACAGGAGTGCTGCGGACGTCCTCCGCACGTTCCTTCGCCGAGTCGAGCTCTTCCTCGGCGGCCTCGAGCACGGCCTTGACCTCCAGGGCTGCTAGGGTTTAGGGCTTAGGGCTTAGGGTTTAGGGCTTAGGGCTTACGGCTTAGGGTTTAGGATTTCGAGTTTAGGGCTTAGGGCTTAGGGTTGCAAGAGTTGCAAGGGTTGCAAGGGGGGCTAGGGTTTCAGCTTTAAGGGTTGCAAGTGCGAGGGTTTAGGGTTTGGGGTTTTAGGGTCGAAGGTTCAGGGTATATAATGAAATCGCAGACATGTCTCCAATCACGCCTCACACTTCTCGGGTTTAGGGTTTAGGATTCTTAGTAGGGAATTTAGGAAGTAGGTACCCGAACCCTTCTTAAAAGGGCGTATATGGGAGGACATAAGGTACCAAAATCCCTCTTTCTCTGCTTTAGGGTTTAGGGTTTAGGGTTTAGGGTTTAGGGTTTAGGGTTTAGGGTTTAGGGTTTAGGGTTTAGGGTTTAGGGTTTAGGGTTTAGGGTTAGCTTGCTGCAGGCGCTTTAGCTTCACCTTTGAGACTTCTGTGGCCCTGGCCCCTAAGCCCACTACCCCCAGGTCGAGGCCGCTTAACTACTTGGTTGTTCTATATTCGTTGTGGAGGCGGGAGGGAGATGGAGCTTAGGGTTCAGGGTTTAGGGTTTAGGGTTTATAGGGTTTAGGGTTTAGGGGCTCAGGGCTTAGGTTTATAGGGGTGTGGGGTGCAGGGGCTTTAGGCGTTGAGCGCGAGCATCTGCACCCCCGAAGCAAAAGGCCTGCTGGCACATCTCGACCATGTCGCTCGAGAGCAGCCCGTCTTCAAGCAGCTCTTGCAACCTCGTTGCCGGCACTGTATCCCAAAGATGCGCCAAAGCCCGTACCATGAACCATAAACCTTAAGTCAATCTCCCTAAACCCTAAACCCTAAGTCAATCTCCCTAAACCCTGAACCCTAAGTCAATCTTTTGTATGCCCTACCATCTGTCCATGCCGGAGTTTACGAAAATAGGCGGATCCCCAAAATATTTGTAGGATCCCCTGTGCTATGAGGACCCCTCGCAAACCCCCAGCTCAGGGAGATTCACTTCTACACTTCTGGGGCGGAGAGGGGGTCCCTATTACGGACTGCTAGTATAAGGGGGAACATCCCAAAATATAACTTGTTTGGGATGTAGGAATCAGGCCCACAGAGCTGTATACATGTGCTGCAAACAAAGGTAGAACCTGAGCAATTTCGTTCCTAGCCCGTGTATATCGGTATATTCACACACCTGGCTAAGGAGTCCTGTATACACACCGAAACCCTAAGACCCTAAACCCTAAACCCTAAACCCTAAACCCCAAACCCGAAACCCTAAACTCCTCATACGAAGCCTACTTCACATTTGTGCGAGCACTTCGAGTCCCTGATGTACCAAGGCCCTGCGAAACCGAACTCGACAGGACCCGGTTTGGGGTTTTGAAAGTTAGGGAGTTTAGGGTTTAGGGTTTGGGGTTTTGGGAGTTTGGGAGTTTAGGGTTTAGGGCCAGGGTTGAGTATTTCGGGTTCCGCCCCCTTCAACCCAATGAGGGAAAACATGAAATGTGCCAAGGGCCTATCTAGTAGTGTTAGAGAAGAGACCACCGTGCAATCACCTCAGCCCGTGCTTTGCATGAGGCCGCTGCTTGTCAGTGTCCTCCTTCGCTTTCTGACAGGATGCCTCACGTGGTTCAGCGATCTGGCCGGTATAGGGCTTGAGGGTTTAGGGTTTAGGGTTTAGGGTCCGTAAAGCCCAAACCAGAACGATTCAGGAGGCTATGTCCCCGGCATACAGGCCATTCGGATACAAAAAATGAGTACCTGGGAGATCCCAACCTTGCTGCAACCATAAACCCTAAACCCTAAACCCTAAACCCTGACGTTTGAACCTTAGGCTTCACGGTTTTTGGTTTAGAGCTCAGGGTTTAGAATAGTTTAGGGACCCTAAACCCTAAATCCTAAACCCTAAACCCTAAGCCCTAAACCCTAAACCCGAAACCCGAATCCCTGAACCTTAAATCTTCTGGACCCTGTACTTCCTCCGCAGTGGCCTCAGCCTTGTCGAAAAGGACCTCCACCTCCTTGTGACGAGGGGTCTCGTACTGGTGGAGGGGCGTTCTTCTAAGGCATGTAAGGAGGGACCCCTGGAATGGGCGCTTCATCAGATTCCCCTATACAATCCCTTTAGATACCTTATGCATAGTCCCTAACTTTCTATACATATATATATATATGTATATACCTAAGCACCTCTTTTACATTACCCATGAGGTCCCTCAGAAGGGTCCCTCCTTTAGCCCCTTGACGTTCTCAGATTCAGGCTGTCAGGTTCCTACACGCCAAGACCCGGAACCCTAAACCCTAAACTTAAATCTTAACCCTGCTAAAACCCAACCCCCCCCCCCCCCCCCCCCAAAAAAAAAAAAAAACACCAAAACCAACAAAACCCCCAAAACCCCCCCCCAAAAAACACCAACACCCTCGACCCCCAAAACCCCAGTCGCCCAAAACCCTGAACCCTTAAAGACCTACACCCTAAAGGTTTCGAGGTGTAGGATTTAGGGATGGGGTTTAACAAGTGCAGTTGTTCACCTCTGCAACTACGCGGTCGCTTCTCTCAGTCAAGCTCCCTTTCTGGGTTTCCTTTCTGTGATATGGAGCATAATATTTAGGGCACCCAAAAGGGACAATCAAGTGCATAACTGCCCTTGCAGGGATCATAAAGGTTGAAGGTTATTCTACATCCTCAACTACTACGACAGAAGGTGCGATCATGTAGGACTAGGCTACCATCAGCTGAGACGACAATAGGCATGGCCCTGTGCGGCACGGAGAATATCTTCTCGAGGATGGCCCTTACAGCCCTCTGAAAAGATAGTCCTCTTTCTACGTAGTCCTCTTCAACCCAATTTTTGGAACACATTTTTTGTCCCAAGGGCCTACCGAGTTAATTATTCCACAACTGGTAAAAGCAGTGCTCTTAAGCGGCGGACAAAGCACATGAGGCCCCTGATAGGACTTGCATAGTACAAGGATGCTGTAGGTGAAAAGGGCCTCCCCGAAACCCTAAACCCTAAAACCTAAACCCTACACCCTAAACCCAAATCCCCCAAACGTTGAACCCAAAACAACCCCTACATCACATGGTCAAGCCAGTCGCCGAAGATGTCAGATTCAACAGAGTCATCCGCTCCTGGCGAGCACAGGGTCCTCATATAGTCCATTTGAGGGTATTGGGTTTAGGGTGCAGGGTTGATGGTTTATGAGTAGTTCTCTAGACCCGCGTACTATATTGGGACCCCACAAACGGGCCCCTAATTTAGAGAACGACCCATATCTATTGAAAAAAATGAAGATGAAAAAGAAACGGGCGGATTGAAGCCCTTCAAGCTTAAGCTGCAAGGGGACGGTCTTGCTGTGTCAATGCCACTTGCATGACCACATCCCTTCAATAGCAATGAAGACACCCTTAGAATGCACCTTTACTGGCTTGTGGCAGTTTGCAGTATATGTACAAAATGCTATTCTAGGGCTAGGGGTGGCGCCCAGAATTTCTGCTATTGCCCGAACAACAAACGCCACAAAAGTCCGCAACACCTGTGAAGCCACTATCGAAACCAGTGCGAGTAAAAAGGATCCTTGAAGCGGCAGGATGATTGAAAATGCTGCAAGCAGCCCTGGGGCCACATGAACCCTGAAATTGGGGTCACACCCACCCTATACTACCATAAAGCCCATGAAGGTATATGAGTCGTGAACCCATTTTAGGGTTCGTTTGGTCCCCCAAGGAGGGGACCAGGGACCGGTCCTTCGGCTGGTTTAGGGTTTAGGGTTTAGGGTTTAGGGTTTAGGGTTCAGGGTTTAGGGTTTAGGGTTTAGGGTTTAGGGGCAGTTTGGGGATGCTGGTGGTGATGGCAGCCGGTTTTGGATACGCTTGGATAGGGTTTCCGAAAAACCAGGGGGACTATATTAGGGGTCCCCTATTTTCGTAAACCTCCACATAACAAACTTGCTGCACTGAATACTCCATGCGAACAGAAGCCGGCTCCTTCTTGCAGGCCTGCCGCTGCCTGTCTCTGGCCTGGGCGGCACATGATCTGGATGGTAGGACTCAGAGCCTGGAGCCATGGGTCATGCGTATCCTTCCTTGTAGCTTCGGGGTGCCAACCATGGCGTAGGGTTTTCGGGCGACACACCCGAAACCTTAAACCCTAAACCCTCACAACCCTCAACCCTAAACCCTACGCCCTGAACCCAAACCCACTACAATGATTTCCAGCACCGGCACCGATGGACCCCCTGCCTCCCCCCCCTCCTCCTCCATAACCTTCCCGACCCAAAAAGCCTCTGGAGTGCTCCAGAAGCGCGCAGCCGGTGGCTGACACATTGAGGTTTAGGGTTTAGGGTCTGGGATTTAGGGTCTAGAGTACCCAAAACTCCTAAACCCTAAACCCTAAACCCAAGGGCAAGAGAGTAATTTTCAGACCCAATTTTGCCCGTGAACATAAGCCACAGGCCGGAGCGCTAGGAAAACTGAGAGGCCAACCCCTGCAGGAGATCAGAACACTTGGGTCTTCAGCTAGAAGCCCTCGAAGCCCCTTGCCCTAAACCCTAAACCCGAAACCCTGAATCCTAAACCCCAAACCCTAAAGCCTAAACCCCCCTGAACCCTAAACCCGCTTCAAGGAGTTTCTGCTTCTTCGCCTTCTCAGGACAAAGCGCCTGGTCGTGCCGGCATTCAAGCACGACGGTGTCTGCGTCATAAGCCTTCCTGCCGCAGATACTCTATGATGACATGACAGAGTCTACTCAAGACAACATTGCTGGCTTGGAGCTGGAGAAGGGCACTGTGAGCTTCTTTCAACCGTTCTTCACGTCCAGGCAAATCTGCGAGCAACGCCTGGACGGCTTTGACGCTGTGGGCATTTTTGGCCAGACGTCGCTGGAAAAGCGACCTCACATAGCACTCAGCAAACACTGCATTGAGATGGATGTTGTTCTCATTCGCTGTGGCACGCACGCGCTGGATCTCTGCAAGACTGGCTGTTGCATGGGCCCGGGCCAAATTTGTGAAGGTCACGACAGTCGGCGAAAAGCCGTGGTTCAGCAAGGCATCGAAAAAGTACATCGCTGCCTTGTGGCTTGGTGGCTCTGCATTGGCACAAGCCAAGATAGCTGAGTTGAATACATACACAGAAAGCTCCAGCTCGTTTGCAACCATGCTGTCCAACACACTCGCCGCCCCTGCAATGTCTCCCATGTAAGCCGCCGAATTGATGCGGGCGCCGCACAGAATCCTTGGGGACGAAATGAGCCCTAAAAGGGTTTATGGTTCATATACCTTAATAGGAAATATAGTAGAATAGGGTATATGACCCCCCCCCCCCCCAATCTTAGGGTTCATTTCGTCTTCAAGGATCTTGTTGCTGAGCCATCCACGTTCAGAAACCTCAGCCCATATCCGTTCAACCATCGAAGGTTCCTGAAGCTTTCCAAAAAGCTTCAGTGCCACCACCAGGCTCACCTCGCTCACCACTACCGGCAAGCTTCGCAACTTGTGGTAAATCTTGGCTGCTTCCATGTACTGTCCACAACGGTACGCTGCTTGTGCAGCAGCAGTAAACACAGGGACAGCGGAGCCGGTGTAGTCTTCATAGAGCTGGCGAGCGCATTGCCAGTCGCCCTCCTTTCCCAGCTTTGCAACCCTTCTCACGAGATTCCTCTCCTCGGAAGACAGCTTGAATGTCGTTTGGGGCGATAACTTAACTTTCAGGCTGTTGCTCATCCCAGTCTTCTCCCTATGAACACTCGAAGCTTTTTGTCTCGGGGGGATGGACTCAGGGACGCATGATTCAGGGAACTGCACATGTGCCAGAAACCAGGTGAACGCCGTCAGAACTATACTCCGCGTTGTCCGACGACAGGCCATGGCCGTCAACTCTGCATGCTTCGTGATCCAAACCCTCGGTCATGTTGCTGGATATCCAACGCCGGCACAAGAACCCGAAGCTAACAATATAGGGGCCTGAAGAATTCGAATAGGTTTTTTTGAGGGTAGTATAGTATAATTACAAGGGAACCATAAGGGAATATTATTAGTAATTATTCCGACCCCTATATTGAACCCTGCATTGTGCACAGTCGACGTCATCGCGCATGCGGCAAGGGGGGGTGGGGGGGGGGGGGGGGTGCCCTGTGTCTGAACCAGCAACTGCACTTCAAAAACAATCGGATATCCCCATTTTACCTTAAACTACTACTTGGTTCAGAACCCCCCAAAACAACAATAGCATTCTTCCTTCTAAGGGCTTTTTTTTGTTTTTTTTTTTTTTTTTTTTTGGGGGGGGGGGGGGGGCGTTGTTAAGCGCATAGTCGTAGCCCTGGCCCTAAGTTGGACCCCCTGGCTAGTTCTTAGTAGGGAATGAGGGAAGTAGCGGGCCCTATAGATAGATAGATAGATATATATATATATACACCCTTCAGAGGGAGTATGTAGGGCCCCAATTCCCTCATTCCCTACGAAGAGCAAGGGGGCCCCAGCCTACGTGGGACGTGAAGTAGGCGCCTCTTCCCGAGAGAAGTGTCATACGGCAAGAGAACCGTAATTAATACATCGCACCTTTGAATGGTCGGCCTTCGCCGCCTTCGCCACAAAACCCCCTAAACCTTAAACCCCAAACCCTTTACTTCCTAAACGCCCTCTCTCGTAGGTACTACAACCCAAGAGCTAGGCCCCAAGTGTTCTTCGCAAGAGTACCTGGACCTTTGACCCGTACGAATCCTTATGACCCCTAACCCTACCAAACCCAAAACCCCTAAGCCCTAAGCCCCCAAACCCCCAAACCCCCAAACCCCCAAACCCCCCAACCCCCCAACCCCCCAACCCCTAAACCCCTAAACCCCTAAACCTTGCAACCCTAAGCCCCTAAGCCCCTAAGCCCCTAAGCCCCTAAGCCCCTAAGCCCCTAAGCCCCTAAGCCCCTAAGCCCTAAACCACTCTAAGCCCTCCCGGTTCTTTCCCGAGAGCCATCCCCTAAACCCTTTAAACAACCCTAAACCCGAATAAACCCTAAAACACCCTTTAAAAAAAAAAGCAATAAACCCTAGCCCTAAACCCTAAACCCTAAACCCTAGCCCTAAACCTAACCTAAACCCTAAACCCCACAAGCCCCCCCCCCCCCCCCCCCCGTTGTTTTTTTTCCCGAGAGCCATCCTCCAAGTCCGGCCAACCACGAAGTTGCTCCGCAGCGCCGGACGTCGGGTGGCCGCACCGGGCCCCGATGGCACCTGAGGGAGGTTTGGGGGTTTAGGGTTTAGGGTTTAGGGTTTAGGGTTTGGGGTTTAGGGTTTGGGGTTCATATAGGGTTTAAGGTTTAGGGTTTAGGGGTTTAGGGGTTTAGGGGGTTTAGGGGGTTTAGGGTTTGGGGTTAAGGGTTTGGGGTTTAGGGTTTGGGGTTTATATAGGGTTTAGGTTTCGGGTTTCGGGTTTCGGGTTTAGGGTTTGGGGTTTATATAGGGTTTAGCGTTTAGGGTTTCGGGTTTAGGGTTTGGGGTTTAGGGTTTGGGGTTTAGGGTTGAGGGTTTGGGGTTTCGGGTTTGGGGTTTCGGGTTTGGGGTTTGGGGTTTCGGGTTTAGGGTTTGGGGCTTTGGGCTTAGGGTTTGAGGGTTTGGGGGTTTGGGGGTTTGGGGGTTTGGGGTTTGGGTTGAGGATTCAGGGTCGAGGGCCATTTGGGTTTAGGGCTTGCAGGGCTTGTACGGCTGAGGGGCTTGGTGGGGCTTACGGGGTTCGAGGATGGGCCTCAAAACCCTCGGAAAATCCTGAACATGATCCCCTTAAACCCAATGAGGGAAAGTATAAAATGCCCCAAAACCCGACCTGGGGTTGAAATAGGACTTGGGTTTCTAGGGTTCATGAATGGGACATTTTGCGCAAGGCTGTTTCGCAGCGTTTGAAGGGCCTACAGGGTCAAAAGGGCTGATAGGGTTTATGGGGCTTATAGGGCTTATAGGGCTTAGGGCTTTTGCCTCTTGCCTTGACTTTTCGCGGGAACGCTTACGACCTAACTTACAATGCCCATGGAACCCGATATAAAGTTAACCCGATGTAGGGCCCTTATATGATTCTGATCTTGGAACCCTACCCAAAATTATGATTCTAGCTGCTTCTTAGGAATTCTAGTACCCAAAACTTGAACAATTATTCCCCAAAAAACAATCCGAAGTATATATATATATATACATACGTATCATATATATATATATACATATAAATCTGCTTATAACTAGGAAGCTGCACGCCAATGGCAGAGCTTGGGTCTTCAGGACTGGTACTCGAAGCCCTCTGCGCCCTAACGCCCCTCCCAAACTCGTCAATCTATACTACTATTTGCTTAAGAACCCCCCCCCCCAGAGAACAATCATGATGTTCTTCCTGATAAGGGTAATCTAGGGCGTAGACCCTAAGCCCTAAACCCTAAACCCCAAACCCTAAACCCTAAACCCTACAGACCCTAAACCCTAAACCCTACAGCCCCTAAACCCTAAACCCTAAACCCCAAACCCTAAACCCCAAAGCCCTGCCGCCGGCTGGCTGAGATACCCCGCATGGCCACGACGGGTGCTACACTTGCCACGCCGCTGGCCGAGTCGCAGGCGCCACGTGGGGGCGCCACGCAACCCCGCCTCTTTGAGCAACCCAGGGGACCACATGGCTAGGGTTTAGGGTTTAGGGTTTAGGGTTTAGGGTTTAGGGTTTAGGGTTTAGGGTTTAGGGTTTAGGGTTTAGGGTTTAGGGTTTAGGGTTTAGGGTATGGGGGTTTCTGAGAAAGTTGGGGTCACATACCCTATACTCCTATAAATCCCATTAAGGTATACATTGCAGCATAAACCCTCGTAGGGGTTCCCAACGATCTTGGCCGTTGCGGTTGAGGGTTTAGGGTATGGGTTTGAGAGTTGAGGCAGTTTGAACTCCTAAACGGTAGAAGGTTTCTGGGAAAAGAACTGCAATCGGGGAGCCAAGCTGCGAGAAGGTCTCTGCGATCATCAGTACAGCTTACAGCGCGGAGTTTCATATTTTCATGCTCAGGTATGGGCATGGGCTTTAGGGTAGTTGAAGAGAATGGATGACCACAGTCTCAAGAACTGGGCGCAAGCAAGCAACCTGGTTATGTTGAGCCTGCTTTGGGGCTTTACAAAAATCGGGGACCCACTCATATAAATCCCCAAAAAGTAGGATCCCCTAGAATAAAGGACCCCAATAAAGCACCGCCCAAATTTCGGAACCCTAAACCCTAAACCGTAAACCGCAAACCCTAAACCCTCTTGCGGTGCCCGCGGCCTTTGGAAGGCGGCTTCTGCAGGTATCGCACAATACAACCTAGCATCCTAAACCCTAGACCCTAGACCCGAAACCCTAAACCCTAAACCCTAAACCCTAAACCCTCGAAGCTCGGATGGCCCTGAAAGCCCTCCGAAAAGAATATTCCCTGAAGATGGTCCTCTTAAGCCCAAGAAGGGAAGACGAAAATGCCCCCCAAAAAAGCTTCCTAAGCATAGGGTTTAGGGTTTAGGGTTTAGGGTTTAGGGTTTAGGGTTTAGGGTTTAGGGTTTAGGGTTTAGGGTTTAGGGTTTAGGGTCTTCTTGAACCCAAGAAGGGAAAATATAAAATGTCCCACGGGGCTAACCGAGGGAGTGGCAAGGCTTTGCAGAGACCGAGGGTTAGGGTTTGGGGTTTAGAGTTTAAACTTAGGGATTATAGGGTTTGGGGTTTAGGGTTGAGGGTCTCCCCTCTAATTCCCTAAGGATCCATGCGCCTGTGTAGTATATCTACTTGGGCCTGAAAGAGGTTCCTAAATATCGAGGCCCAAGTATACACACACACACACACTTTTTTTCGGTACATAGATCCTTAGGGAATGCCTTCGTGGAAAAAAAACGAGCAGAGCCCTCAACCAAGGGCCAAGTAAAACTTAACGGCAGCCCAACTCTGCATGACATGGTCCTGGGGCAGGGGCTGTCCGACATTCTATGATATAGCGGCCTGAAGAATGAAAGTAGGGTTTTGGGGGTGATTAGAGTACATAGGACCATAACGGAATACCAGTAGTCATTATTCCCCTATATTGACGTTTTTGGGCTAGCCCTTACTAAATGAAACTCTGTATGCAACAGTCCCGAAGAGGGGGTCCGCAAATGATCAAAAATCCCCCCACATGCGCTCGAGATGCAGGCTGCCACCCAGTCCTGAGCAGCAAGACAAGCGTTCGGGTACCCAAAAAATCCAGAGATCAGGATTTGTTTCTGCAGCCTCCGCCTTCCCAGGACTGCGAGTCTTTAGGAATCAAGGGTGCCTGCAAGTCCGAAGATACAACCCCCTTCATACGGGGAGGCCGACCCACTGCTTACGGGGTGTAGGGTGAAAAGCTGGGTACTGTAGGGGCCTAAATAACCTAGTTGCTGAGGTCATCAGACCCCCAAAAAGTGCTCACTTTCAGTCTTGTAGGGGATTATAGTATCCCAAAAAGTGTAAAGTGTACTCATTCAGCTACTGAAATAACTCGAATAGTGTTTTGGGGCTGGCCTGTGGAGGGAGCCAGCCCATTGAAGGAGCGTGCCAAGGGAGCAGAGGGGCGGCTTAGGGTTTAGGGTCCCTAAACCCTAAACCCTAAACCCTAAACCCTAAACCCTAAACCCTAAACCCTAAACCCTAAACCCTAAACCCTAAACCCTAAACCCAGGGAACTGTGACCTACACGACATCCCAACGCCTCCGAGCCCCGATGCAGCAATGCCAGTCAAAATGCTCAGCATCCCATGCCCTAAACCCTAAACCCTAAATCCTAAACCCTAAACCCTAAATCCTAAATCCTAAGCCCGAAACCCTAAACCCTGTTCATCTGAATTCAAACCTGGTGGACGAACCGGTCTCCG